TGTGTGTGTGTGTGTGTGTGTGTGTGTGTGTGTGTGTGTGTGTGTGTGTGTGTGTGTGTACTTATAAAGTGACTAAGGTCAGAATACTCCACATATCTTGATTCGGTTATAACTTATTCAGAGTATGACCTTTTCCAGGTTAAGTTAATCAGATGCTGTTAATACATTCTATTTATTCGGTCTAATGACTTAATGTGTGAATAATAACATTAGAATATTGGTTTCTATGTAAACATGACCTCCCTCTTTACAGATCCCGTTGTAACAGTTTGCAGGTAGAGACAGTCTTAATTTGGCAGATAACTTTGAGATTCTAATCATGGAACTACTTCATGTTTTCCACCTGTGTTCATGCATCTTCTGCTTGTCTGGTGATAAATGTCATCATCATGAAATCCTCCCACCGACACTTTTCATATTTACTGCCATGGGACTAATTAATGAACGCACTCTTCATTCAGCCTTTAGCTTGTTTAGGCAATAAATCCAGAATGACAGAACATGGTGTAAAGAGAGAAGTGGAGGATGTAATCGCAGCTGTTGAGCTTGGTGTGTGAATGTTGTCAGTCGAAGGTCGTCACAAGTGAAGAAGCACAGGCCGGTGTCTCGTGTTTATCTACACGCTTCCTGCAGAAAGGCTTCAGACGTTCATTTCTTTGGCTGGCAGATGGCTGACTTGAAAGGTTGAGTGTTAATAAAGAGCAGATGGTGGATTTTGGGTGACCTTCAGGTGATGAACATCCTGCAGTGAAGGGAGATGAACTCCCTTATGACAAGCATGTAAGTCCTCTGATGGATGATGTACACACAACAACTGTACACACCCGTAACACGTGCACCCGTGTTAAACATTCCTGTATTGTTTCATCGACATTGTAAAATGATTCATTATTTATTTCATGTACAGTCAATAGTTAATGCACGAAGCAAACAAGCTAGCTCGCTGTTGTGCTTTAAATCCACGCTGTGTAACTGTGAGCAGCAGCGCCCCCTGCAGCTGCATGTTGTGGTTATCCTGCAGGGCAAGGGAAATCCACAGAACGCTAGATATTACCCATGATCCCCGGCTTCCTGAACCAGAAGAATCCACCAAACTCTGTTGAGAATTCTTCATATTTGAAAGTTTCCTGATTTTAAAAGCTGAATATTGGATATAAACTTAGTTTTTTTATAAATTCTAAGTCTTTTTAATTGATCTACAGTTCAACCTGCTGGAGCTGATTCTGACAACTGAAGCAGTGACTGTCATCAAAGTTCTATAGATCAAGAAAGAGGAAACATTCTCTATTTCAGGTGGAAAATGCTAATGTGGACGAGTCGTTTTATATCCTCCATTCTGTATGTTATTCGGTCTATTACGTCTGTAGTTTGTGTAATATGCTGACATGTTTGTGGTGGCTCCGTATACAAACCGAATTGAATGGCGAATTAAGTTCTTGGGCTCGTTTTGTCTGGATAAACAGAAATTGCCTGCAACGACGTTCATGGTGCGGCCGTTCCATCAAGTAAATCACAACGCAGACTCCACCAGTTATATATTCATTTCAGAAAATGAATGGCAGCTCACTCCTCTTGACATCTCCATCTTGCCTACCCGATAAAATACACAATGCAAAAAGTGTTGCTCATCAATCCAGTTTCACTGACGTGTGGCAGCATCTCTTTACTCATTATCTTCAAACGTCAGAGTTTTCATGTTATAACAACCCATAAAAAATAATTAGTTTATACCCTGGAGAACGTCAATCACGCTGGCAGCGGGCAGCTTGTCTGAATATCTAATAGAAAGCCAATATTGGTTCAGAGATAAATTGCTTTAACCTCAGCCAGGACCTCCTCAACATGCACAGCAGCAGAACAAGCCCGAGATGTGACTGAGAGTCAGCGTTGGGCTTTTGAGGAGGAGGTGGTGAGCGGGACAGCTGAGCGACTTGATAATTGAGCCCTGGGTTATTCACATGTTAGATCATTTAATGAGTCACACAGCAGAGTGGAGGGGAGCTGTTGACTTCATTAAGAACAGTAACAGTGTGTAATGATGTGATGAGGCCTGTCAGAGAGCAGCAGCAGGGTGTTGACACTCCGGCACCGGCACCGTAATGACAGGGCACATGGTATTGTTGGGGCAGATGCTGTCCGTCTGATTGGCCGCGCTCTGGGTCAGTGATCAGGGTGACGCATCTAATAATGTGTTGAGTGGTTTGTGTCACTCGTTTCTCTTGATGGAAAATGTCACCACTCAAAGCTGATAATCTACTTTACTGCAAGATTGTAAATAGTTTAATTTTAAAAGTAGTTTTTATCTCTATTTTCTGTATCTGTTCGAGGTCACAGTGACACGAGGTTTACATCCGCCCCCTCTGGACAAAGTGCCGGGTTCCAAAAGGTCAATACTTTATCACTGCGACTCTTTTGAACCTGGGAACTTTTCCAGAAATATAGGAACCTTTAGGGACGTTTGCCTCAGCTCTTTTCCCAGAGGAACCCGGGTGTCAAACTTCCTTCTCCCCTAAAATGCACTAATATACTCTCAGCTGAATTTGAAGACCTTCTTCTTCCGGTGAGGTGCCCGTGGCAACCCTTTATTTTAATGAGGCACAATCATCATCATGAGGTCTAAGTAATTCATATGCAGTCAAATTGAACCTGCGTTAGTTCAGGCAGGCCACAAACACCATAAAACACAAGATCGCATCAGTGGATTTTAGCTGCTTTAGTCCACCTACTCTTTCAGCCTCCTCTGCAAGCTGCTTTGCAAAACGCCCCCAAACCCAGTTTCTCTCTTCTTTCACGCTGTATGTGACTTAATCGACGACCCTGTTCGGGCCCGGGAGCAACATCTGTCCAATAGCAAGCGGTCAGTGCTAAGTTCAAGTCTCAATGCATCCTGAGATCAGATCACTCTGGGACACGTGGTCACAATATTTTTGCTGCGTGAATGCAAATGCATCCTGGGCCACAAATGGAGCCGCCCACTCAGCTGACGTCTCTGACCTACTACAATTTCACAATGAATAATAATGTCAACACTGATCCCCACATAATGACTGAACTGGTAAAATCTTTCTTTGAATGGTTTGGATTGACATAGTTGTCTTTGCCCAGCATGCAATATAAGAAAAGGAAGAATTCAAACCCTTTGAACCATTAACTGCACGGCATATAGGATGTAAAAGTAAGCAGTAAAAAAGATGAAATAAGCAATGTGATATTAACACTAAAACACTTTGTCGGTCATTAAACTTTGTCGGAGCCAGGCCTCGCTCTCCATCACTAAAAACTATTAATATCCTTTGAAATAGAAACAAAAGTTTGTCTATGGAGCCACAGCTTTATGGACTGAGATATGAGATTCAGTGCAGCGCCTGCAGAATTGCTCCCAATTTCACGTTCAGAGGAAAACCAAATAACGTCTGTGCTTGTGATTGGCAGGAGGTTAAACAGTCCCTTATCTGCAGACACAGGATATATAATCACAGAGGGGAGGCTCACATCACACCGCCCCACCTGAGAGGCTGCTCTGTCTGCAAATCAGCTGTGAAGGGAGCTATCAGGCTATTAATCACAGGCAGAACAGCGCCGCAGCTTCACCTGGATGATAATGTGTGTGTTCGGATGCGGCTTCCATTCAGTTGGAGTTGGATCAGATTAGGGTTCACTCAGCCTTTAGTTTACGTCTGCATCTTCCCTGCTTCTAGTTACCTCATCTGTCGTCCACCCTCTTTTCTCCGAGTCTCTATGTTTAGCCGTTCTGTAATTTAAGGAAACATGGACACGTTATTTCATCCGTGAGCAACTTTTACATGCATAGTACATTCTAAAGCTACAGCAGTTTGTTTTTACAGTTTACAACAAAGCTGAGTTCTTCTCTGTTACTCTTCATCTGAGCGGTTTAGTTGCTTTAAAATCTCCACAGGTGCTCTGTTGGATTAAAGCCTGAGGATTGACTTGGCCGGGTCATAGATTTCACTCAGAGATTTTCACTCTGTCATGTTGTAAAATCTCCCCTGTCAAACGTCTTGAGACTAGAAGTCAGCTTGTCATTCAGTATTTGAGGGTTATGCAAACGTGCAATCATATCGTCATCTATAAATGTCAGCTCCCCTGCACCTCCTGCACTCATGCAGCCCCGTATCAGCACAGTCCCACCTCCTTGTTTCACGGTGCACAATTACAAAGCACTTTTCTTAGTGACTGCTTTACACACACACACACACACACACACACACACACACACACACACACCAGGGTTGCTCAAGGACACTTCCCCATTCACACTGGTAGACTGAGGGATTGTTTTTGGCCAAACCACCAACCTCTCAATTATTGGATGATCCGCTTTACCCCCTGAGCCACAGGTCCCATGACCCTTAACCTTGTTACTATTAAAACTAAACTCAGGTTACATATAATCTCTTGCTGTGAAGTGTGGATTATTAACCTGTATTTAACCTTGCTGCTGTTTACCTCTAAATATTTCAGCTGTTGCATCTGTAAAATTCACATCAGAAGCGTTTGACATGAAGACCTTCATACCTCTGAATATCTATCACCTGAATGGATGAGCACACAGAGATCGACCTGACAGAGACACCAGGTGTGTTTATCAAAGTTGTGATTTAAATAATAATGATGCAGAAATTATTAAAATATTCAATATCTGTGTAAAAGTTTAAATTTGACAGACGTTAGTTGCTCTGAGGTATTTCACTGTCAAAAATCTCTCAGAAAAGTTTCCAAAGGTCCCAAATGATGATGAATCACTATAATAACGATAATGAAAAATGTTTTGTTTTGTGACACTTCAAATGTGCCACATCATTATTTTACATATTTAGCTTCAGTGAATCATGCGACCGGAACGTCTTCTCCGAGGTGACGATGACTTGATCCCAAGTGTTTCCTGTAAATACTAAATAATCTTTGACTCTCTTGACTTAACAAAGTTTTATTTTTTACAAAATTATCCAAAACAACACAATCTGCACCGTATAAGATTAAAAAAAAGTTTAACAAAATAACTGAAGCTCTTCCAATGCACCGCAAAATAAAAACATCTGTACAGACCCCTTTTAAAAATGCATTGTTTTTACAGAACACGCACAAGAACACAAATCCATATCTGAGCTCCAGAGTCAGAGAGGTGATGCAGTTAGTCCAATACCATAACATTGAAAATGTGCTAAAACATCGAACTGCTTTCTGAGATGTGTGATCATAATATCAATACGTATCAAAATATAATAATAAAAGGAATATAATGTGTATGCTTAAAACAATCTTCACTCGTGAGCAAACACATAACTATAGATGTTTAATGATATGCAACACATCAAGTTATATTATTGTATTTCTATAAACAGAGACTCTCTTAAATGTGCACAAAGAAATGTAATGTGTTTCCAGTGTAGTTCCTGTGATATCAGTAGAAGAGGATCATACAGATTGAAATCTGTGGAGGTAGAGTCCATCACGTGAACTGTAATCAATCAAGTGTGTTTACTGTTTTATGAAGTAAGTGAGTGTAAACATTTAGATTTCAGGAATCCAAATACTGGTTAATAAAAAAAAAATAAAAAAACACCTTATACTAATTTTTAATTACTTTCTGCAATCTGTGCTGCTGCATCCTCAGCTTGAGTCATATTATTGTGGTCCCTGGAAGTCGAGCCCACGAAACCAAATCTAGCTGAGCATGTTAAATGCAGCCAGAAAACAAGTTGGCTTCATCCTCGCCTGCTGAGGTAGGTGGAAATGTCAAAGATTAGCTGTGATGCCAAATAGTCAAAACACATCTCTGTGCCAACCACACAACCCAAAAACCTGGATGGTGAAACAAACATCTGAATAAGCAGTAACTCTTATGTTTTATGTAAACATTATATTCGAAATATAAAATGGAGGAAAAGGTCATAATGGTGAAACTAATGCACATGTAAATATAAAATCAACTGTCAATCTCCAGTTTTTTCAAATAAAAGCAGATGAAATGAGGCTTCTGGTTTCACAGCAGTCTTCCAGACACTGTTGAGTGCGTCTCAACCGGACCGTCACCCTTATTTGATTTAAACATATATTAAAGCATTGAAATCAGTCCTAGTAGATGTGAGATACGATTTTAAATTCAATTCCATGGCACCTTCTCCATAAGAATACGTCGTCCACTTTTAATCACTGTCTCTTGGGTCACGTGTCCGTCTAACGCCGGGTTAGTTAAAGACCAGCTAACTAAAGCCTTCACAGATCAGGAGGCCCCTGCAACAAGGGGAGTAACATTGTCGAGATAAGACACTTAAAGGTATTTGAAAGGGTATTAAAGAGATAGAGAAGAGAAGCCTCAATATCACATCAATATCTTCTTTATCTTTTGTCCCTGGACATTTCAGACGTCTCGGGGGTATAGTTGAACGAGCATAATCATGGTACATCATGGGCATACAGGAGAAGTTGGCAAGGAAACCAAACACTTGTGCACTAGTGGTGGCCGAAGGCACATGTTTATGTAATACCAACTGATTGATTGAAGATGCTTTATAAATACGTTTGCTGCCGCCATCACCTTTACACTGTCTAGCTCTCACATACAGATGTTGTTGCATCTGTGCCACTCACTGTAGCAGTTCCTCGAAGTAGTAAAACAAAGTGTTTTTTGGCAGGTGCTGCAATAGACCGGGGACTTTCTCTTGCAGACCACACATGCCCGTCTGCCGGCGGTGGCCCGATTTCTGGGGGCCACGTTGCTCATTTGTTCCACAAAGTAAGATGGTAGGTGCCCTAAACCTGAAGCACCAGAAGCTGCTGTGGGGGGCACATCGACGGACAGAGAAGGAGGTGGCGCTTTAGATCGAGATCTAGGGGTTCCTGCAGATGTGTAGGCTGACGGCACATCGGGGGCAGAGGCCACTGAGGACGGGGTTGTTTGGGAGGTCGGTGGGACTTTGAGTGGAGAAGCAGGCAACATAAAGTTTTGAGGAGCCGACCGGCGCGGACTGGACCCAATCTCAGCCAGCGACAAAATCAGTTGTTCCCTGAAGGTTTTCTGTGTAATTATAGGCCGGTTCTGTAGTTTGCACATTTCTTTATGGAGGATGAAAGAGTTCACAGTGGCTATGTCCACAAAATGATAAAACAGAGTTTTGTACCATTTCTGGGTCTTGTGGAGGACTTTGTAATATCCGATGAGCGCATCCGACAAGTCGACACCGCCCATGTGCCGGTTGTAATCTTTGATGGAGCCTGGAATAGGCACCTGCTTCACTGTCCACTGTCCGTCTGTGTTTTTCACTCTGCGTTTTGCCGTGTCGTCGCTGTAGGCTTTGTGCATAGTGGAGCACATTGTTACCTCGCGGGCGTCCAACCACTTGACAAACAACAGCTTCCCGTTTCTGATCCACCGGATAGTTCCCTTTTTTGTTTTCTTGTCCATGTCATTCTTTTTCATTTTGGGGTAACCAGCGACATTGGAACGCACAGTGCCACACGCCCAGATTTTCCTCTGAAGGAGGTCAAGGAATAGTGTTGGACTGGTGTAATAGTTGTCCACATAGAGCTTATATCCTTTGCCTAGAAAGGGTATTTTCAGCAGTCTCATGACAGCATCATAGCTTAGCCCCTTCCCTGTGGGTTCACCCTCTTTCCCTCCGTACACGAAAAAGTTAAGGGTGTAGCCACACGCCGAGTCGGCTAAAACAAAAAGCTTAAAGCCCCATTTAGTAGGCTTGTTTCTAATATACTGCTTGAGCCCAATCCTGGCTTTACTCGCCACCATACGTTCATCTATGGAGATGTGCTGGTGAGGGTGAAAGAAAGTGTAGCAGGCCTCCAAGATCTGCTGATAGAGGGGCTTTATTTTGCATAGTCTGTCATAAGCTGGTGTCCCTTTCTTTTTGTCATTTGCTGCTTCGACGGCAGGATCATTCATGTGTAGGCTGCGGGAAATGGCTAGGAAGCGTCTGCAGGGCATGACGGAGGCAGGGAACGGCAGGCTGAACAGCTGAGACCCTCTCCAGAACTCTTTCAGAGTTTTTAGCGGGACGATACCCATGTAGAGGACAAGGCTGATGAAGGAGTACATGTCTGCTGCTGTGACCTGGACCCAGTTTTCCCTGTGGCCTTGATATTTCTTCTTGCCATAGGCATTGGTGTTTCTCACTAATGTGCTGATTACAGTCGTGGAGAAGAACAGCTGGAAGAGTTCAAGCGGCGTGTAATTTGCAGTTCTGTTCAGCTGCGGCCCTACGTCCCTCTCAGGTCTGAACCGGGGTTGAGGAGGCTCGACATCTTCCTCACTGACGTTCCGCCACCGGCCTCCATCATCATCCGCTCCATCTTCTTCCTCAACCACAAGCCGTCTTGCTGTTTGTTTCTTCCCGCTGTCACTCTTTCGGCGTGGAGAGGAGAATGTCCCACGAGTACGAGGGGAGGAGGCGCCTTTAGTTGCATCATGGAACTTCTTTTTGCAGGGTCGATGCTCACAGTTTTTGGATGGGGACTTGAGGTGCGACGCTGCTGGAGAAACAGAGATGGAGCGGCAACGCTTTCCAGAAGCTCTTCTCTTTGTGGGCGTGTTATTCCACTCTGCATCTGAACTTTCCTCATCAGTGAAGTCATCCCTGGAAAAAAATAAAATTAAAAAAAACAAATTAGTAGGTGGTAAATTAATGAGTAGCTTTTCCTAAATCATTCTTCACCAGTAAAATTAAAGGTTTAACATTGAATAAAGCAATTTGTGTGCTTTATTTTTTATTATATGTTTTCATTATATTACATTCATATGTTTAATTATATATTATTCATTGTACATTTTTAATCTTTTTTTAATTATTCAAGTGTTAAATTAACTAATTAAAAAAAAGTTTTCATATTCATATACATGTCATTCTTAGTCAAGATACAATAAATAAAAACATGCAGTAATAGTAGTATTTGTTCATTTTATACGCAGCCACAACAATGTGGGTTTCCCTGCCACCCTCATACCCCCCCTCACCCTGGCCCCCTGGCCCCTCACTGAAATCCCTGGAGCCGCCCCTGTCCTGGATCATCAGTGTGTTGTGATCCACTGAATAATTTTCCAATGATTAACCAACACACAGACCAGGCTTTGTTCTCACAGGAGCCGGGCAGCTGGTCAGAAGTTCGACGTTGGACCGTGATGTGGATGCGCCCTTAACGCGCACGAGCTTGATGTCGTTTAATGCACGTGTGCGTAAAAAAAAAGTGAAGTTTGTTATCCGATCGGAAGCGGAGCGTTCTCCCGGTCATCACGAGCTTCCCCGTGTGCACGTGCATGTCTCTGCGGCGAGGACAAAGGAGCAAGTGCACGTGAACATCTGCCGCAAATAACGCGCAGAGTGAAAACGCGCAACAGTTACGCAGATTATCCTGCAGCCTGCAAACACACCGGTGCGTTTATTGTTTAGTGGAGTGTTGCGTTCATGTCTTATCTCATCAGTTCGTTCTCTGCAATAACAACGAGTGACACAGACTTTTAGGGCCTGGCTCAGTGTTCACTGTGCGTATTCCTGTGGAACGTTGACGCAACACATCAGAAGAGGTCTCAGGTATTTTGGACTGATTCCAGCTCTGCACTGTACTCACTGTTCTGATCCTCTGCTCACCCCTCCAGGAGTGAAGCCTTCCTCCTCCTCTTCCTCCTCCGGGCTGCAAGTGCTGCTCCCAGAGTCTGAATCCGAACCGAGCTCCTCTAATTCATCCTCAGACTGTGACAGAAACATGTCTAAAGTCTGACAGAGATCTGATTCTTCTCCTCTGAGGAAGGTTTTTTGTGGTGTGAAGTGGAACCGGTTCCCGTGGGACCTCCCACTCGCGCCATATGCTCCTGAACACAATAAAAAAAAAAAAAGTCCACTCCTGCGGGTTTCTCTGCTGCGACTGGATGTTCCGACTCTTCCTGATCATATATGGTTATAAAGGTAGTTAATGGAATACAGTTACAGTTTGTTTTTATAATTCAGCCAATCACTGACAGACATGAGGAGATTTAAAAACCTCAACCTGATTATATCGATTATGGGATTTATTTACTTTATTCTGGCTCCTCTTTAAAAACAGAATCTATTTGTTTGGATTGAAATTAAATCTACATTTATGATTTTGATATTTGTCAAAAGTTATTTAAGTCAGATTTTAAAATTGCTTTACTTTACTACTATAACATTAATGCAAGTGTAACCCTTTATTGTATAGTCTTTAAAAATAAATATAATAAGAATAAACAAGGCAGGTGGCAAGAAAACAGGGCTTTCCCCTAAAGGTTATTGAAATATGAAACATCTCAGTCAGGGTTTGTCTGTATAAAAGTATATAAAATATAAAATATAATAGAATAGGCCAATAAAAGCCTTTCACTGACAAATAGAAATTGACATTTATGTTTGCTGATATGTGCAGGTATGAAAACATTCATGAATGCATCACATGTGAAGTTGTGATAAAGAAGAGTGTGATCTCTGAGGTTGATTATCAAATTATCAAAACCTTGGTTCAGTCAGGAGTTGGCAAACCTGCCCTCTAGACAATGAAGTCAGATTGGAGATGTGAATCAGAGCTTCTTTAATTAAAAAAAAAAAGTAATTTTGAGTTTCAGAAGACTTCCAAAAAGGAATTCATTTTCATAAAAGAAAATCCTGTGTTTAGTGGATCCATCCCTCCAACCCCCTCCTCACATGGACTTTGTCGCTCCGTGTTCACCTTTCTTCCTTGGCCTCTGTCATAATAACTACGGCTGCTAGAGGTCGAACAATAAACTGTAGCCGTGGGTCGTAATAAGCTGCTTGGACGAGGCGGGCAACGAATGGGTTGAGGTCGCAGGAGGAGGGCGGCGTCCATGATGGATAGCACGGTGATTTAAATCTACAGGAAGACCACGTAAACCTTGGTTTGGCCGAACCGCAAATGGTCAGTAGACACGTTTGTTGGAGGTGTAACCGCAGAATAAAAAGGTTTATCAGCTCTGCATGAAAGTAAGAAAGTTATACAGTTCCCTCTGTTCACATTAGCTATATTACAAAATAATTATACGCAGGGTCGTCATGGTAACATCTCGATGGTTCCGTTTTTACGGCCCAACTATGGCGGCATCCCTGTTTTCTTATTTAACCGTGAAGGTGAAACATGCAGCTTTAGTGGATGCTGTGGACACCGTGCTGTGTTATACTTACTGACCATGAACCAGTCAGTGAATAAACCGAGGTTACATAATCGATAGAATGACCATGTAGTGGAGATTTTAACTTCCAGCAACAATTTTATCAGTGGTTTATCTGTTGTTGTTTCAAGGCCGCCTCAGTGGGTCCTGTAGAATCTTATGTGATATAATCATCATTTATCATTTTTAATCCCCTTCTTCTACAGGCCAAGACTGTTTTTATTACCTCATGAAGGGCAAAGCATGTTGGGTAAAGCTTTTAGTGTGTGAGTGCAGACACGGCAAAGCTCCTTAACGCGGTGTATTTGTCTGCTCATGCGTGGGCTTGACATATTACACTAATATGTGTTTGAAAATGCAGGCGTGTCATGATCATGAGCGTCGGTGTTATTCAGAGCGAGTCAGAGATGGCTGCGGTGTGACCTCGCCTCCCCCTCCCCAATAAAAGTCAGAGACTGTGGAGTAAGAGTCAGTGAAGAGGCCGAATAAACTCCCACTCACTTTAACGGCCTCAGTTCTCCAGAGTGTGGACGAGCAGAGTGAAGGAGCCTTTGTGCCACAATTCATCAAGTGCTTCAGTGAAGGAGGGGCAGAGGTTCTCTAAGTTCTGTTTACAACAAATTATTCATAGGGTCATTTCAGAGAGGAAAAAAACATGTATTCATACATTTCACTATAAACTACTGACTGTATGAAGAGCTGGATGATATAACAGCTCCCTAACGTGAAGCCTGATCATCCTGGTTGCCGCCTGGTCGCTGGCCCTAGTGTAAGTCATAAACCCGGCCTCCTCCACGTTAGTGGATGGGACATGGATCAAAGAAGTAAGATCTTGATATCACTGTGACTGAAATTTGAAATTTAATCTAACACTGATGTTTATCCAGGTTACACGATTGGTCGCAGGCATATATCGGCATGACCTAAGTACAGTAACATCATGATTTGCAACTAAATCATATGTGTGTGTGTGTGTGTGTGTGTGTGTGTAATCACCTGTGACGACTTTCTACAGAAGTACTTCCTGATGAAATTTAAATTAATGCTACAGAAATGGACGTCAAGCTCGGGTGATTTTTCATTTATTTTAGGTAAGAATATTTCACATTGGTTTCCTCTCTGGTAGATATTTCCTCAATATCAACATCTCACAGCTCAGCAAAATGTGCAAGCAGGAAACGCTTAGCGAAAAAACCACAGAGTCTTTTTCGGCCTGAGTCATGAGCAGGTCATGAATTATTCAGGGTGTCACAGCTGTGATTTCAAATTCTGGAAAGTTTAAAGGTTTTCATTTGACTCACATTTCAGCCTTTTGTGCATTTGTTTTTCACCATGTCCCGAGAGACTGTTAGTGTTCCTCATTATTTATTAACTTTATTAAATTGGTGGAAACGATCCTGTGCAGAAGGTGCCGTTCCACCAGGTACTAACACCAGACACATGGATGAAAATGTGATAACTGCTTAAAACAAATTATTATTATCCTTATATGTTTGTTTTACAATGAATAATAAATCCACTAAAAAAGCTCTGAGGAAATTACTTTTCCATTTAATTTCGTTTTATGGTTTCGTTATGTACCCAGAAACTTTGATCTTCACCAGAAAGGTTAATCACCAAAATGTGCAACTGGGCATTAGACTGGGATTAAAATAATGATTTCAGTGCCTCTATTGGATGTTAAAACACACTTAGTGGGTGTTAAATCTCAATATTCACAGAAACGCTGTTAATCTAAAGGCATATAACTGTAACACCCGCTGGTAGATGGTGAACAGGCTGGTGACTTATAGTTATGTGTGAGGCCTCCTGCAAGTCTCCGACAGCAGACGTGAATTCAATACTCATGGAGCCGAGCTGAGCTTTTATTTTGCTGATGTGCAAATGTGTGTTTCACGTTTTAATCGTATCGAGGGTGAAACAATGCCCCCTGCTGCAGAATGAATCATGTGTTGGATGTAGCCACCAGCGAAGCATCTGAATGATACATGTTATGGATGAATCCTCTGTGCGCTGTTCTCTCAGGCATGATGACAGGATGGTGTGTGTACATGTGTGTGTACATGTGTGTGTGATGAGCACTATGACACATGTCCTCTCTGGGAGCTTAAGGGATCCTTGCTGTTCTGAGCTGTGGATGTATAATCTCTGATCATGTTGAATACAGTGGTTGCTGTGGCCGTACAGGTTCTGGAGGTAAAAAATAATTATTTTAGAATAAAAAATGATTTATCCAGAATACGGGTGCTGACACATTTTTTGCTTTCTACATCATTTGGACCCAGATCCTTCGCAGTAGTGATCGTGATGTGGAGCCGCAAACAATCACGAGTCAGTCTCAGCTGTCAATCATGTTGTTTCACCATCGTTTTATATCAAATTCAAACTTGACGTTATAAGAACGACTTAAAATTACTGAAACCATCTTTGAGAAGAAATTATCTACCCTTGACTTTTTAGTGACATCCATAAACTTGGAGGAGGCTGGGTTTGGGATGTATACTGCAGCCAGCCACCAGGGGGCAAACAGAATGATTTTACACTAGTAGATTATTATTAGTTAGATTGGGATCTGTCACGTCATCCATCTTTGTTTACAGTCTATCGTACAAACCTGTGTGTGTTTTATTACTCCCTAGAAGCATTTTGCAAAGAAACACCCAATTACATAAACGTAAAAAACGTTGAAAAACTCTGTTGCGTTCAAATTCTGGATTCATTCGTTGGTCATTGTTAAATTTCTATGTTCCAATTTGTACCTTGTGACTTGTTTTTTTTCATATTAACAGTAGCTGAGGCTTATTATTGCTTTCGTCACAAACAGGAAGAAGAAGATGTGTCGCACTTGAAGTTGAGATATGTTTCGCAAAAGACCACAACATAGACATATGTTATCATGACATTATCCAGGAGGCTCCATTGTTGAGGAAAACTTTAACTCAAATGTGTAAACTAAGTAACATCAATCATTGGTCGAATACAAAAAAGTTTTTGGTTTACGAGCTCTTTGCGACAAAATGCAGAATTATTGTGACATTTGATGGGGTTAAGGTGGATGAGGGTAAATAGTTTGAAACTTCATGAAAGACCACTGGTTGGACGTGTTGGTTAATTTTCCTTTAGCAAAATTGCTTCTGTACCTAAACTTGATCAGACCCTGACGGTGAGAGGTCAGAAAGCAGCTGCAGTAACTTCTGTACGGGTCAATTGTAATGGATTTTGAAAACTGTTACATTGATGATGCCGATAAGGACGCCAGATAAGATAACGCCCAAATGGGTCAACGTGGAAGTCAATGACAAATTGCCTATTTTGTTTTCAAGCACAGAGAAATTCTGGCAGAAAACACAAGGGAAGAAATTGCTTTTGCTTTATCGCCAGTGGTGTGGACTTTGAGATAGTCCGAAAGCAGTTTTAGATAAACGCACAAAGCAAATAAAGCGACCAGAGTCATTGTGATCTCCTCGTGTTGTAGCCTGCAGCTGTGTGGGAACAGTAGCGTGTAGCGTCCTCAACGTGCGTGCAGCTTTTATTACCATTTCCAGAGATTAAATATAAATAGGACCTAATGCATATTGCATCAATTTGGATGTCTCCCCCTGTTGTTTTCAACTGCTGTGTAAACACTGGACAGGAAACGGTCAACTA